TGATAGCCTTGTATAAAGTGACAGTATATATAATGTGCGAACTGTAAAACTTACAGGAAAAGCGAAGTGGGAGGGGGCCGCTAAACACACCTCTCCTTACTACACCTGTGCTCACCATCCTTATGCCGACCGGCAAGGTGACGGTAATATTATCTTATGTCATGGAGGAACGACACAATCAATGTCAAGTGTTAGCTTACCTGCTGGGCGAAGTTTGGATTGCATATCTTCCCATTCTGTCGCGTTAGACAGAACTGCCAAAGATCAAAGGAAGAGAGGTTAGTCATGCGATTGTCCGGTCGGCTATCCTGCATTCGGCGGAGAGGAGAATGAGCGGATGAAAAATGGGGACTACAGATTGCGGCCTTTCGTGTAAGAATGCAAAACAACTAACCCATTTTTTTTCTTTCTCTCTTTTGGGTGTGACGCGAGCGCTGCAGTGAATGGTATCTCGCACATTGTCGATAACCTTGGAAGGAAAGCAGCGCGAGAGAAGTATACGGCATCGCGTAGGCAAAGGGGCAAACCCACGACTTCCGTGCGTCGCCTCTGCGATCTGCAGCAACGTGAACAGCGCTCACACCCGGATGAGTGACACTGTCATTCGCGAGCGAAGATATCTGGTCAACGGAACTATGCTCGTGTGTATTCAACGTCGCACTCATATGGCTCGGTGCATATGGCTTCAACTGCATATGGCTCGGTGGCGTTCTGCTGTAGTTAATAAATAAGGTGGCGCGTTCTGTTTGCGGCCGCGACACTGCAGTGGGGACGTTTAACGTGGGAACACTCTACAATTAGGTCGAAGAAAATGTAAATTTCCGGCTCGTACACCGCGGCGCGTCATGGCTCACTGTACACGTTTTTGATATAAATATCACTATACGCGTCTCTTTTCCGTTGTTTTTCATTGGGAGGGGGGGGGGGGCGTTTCTGATACACTGAAATATCTGTACATGACCGTGAGCAGACATTACTTGCAATGAACAATAACAACGTCAGGGAAAAAAATGGAGCCCTTGTGCTAACTGCTGCAGCAGCTTTCTTGTGGTCTTCTTTCCATTTTTTTTTTCCTCGATCGTTGACCCGGCTTCACGCCTTAAATTAGCGCGAAGCAATGCAGGTTAAATAACTCGCGCGACTTGAGTCACCGTTGCACTATCTCTTCTCTCTTTGCTGCTCATTCTTCAACTTCTGTTATGCCGGAGCTCGTGTGTTACTGTTGCTGAGATTTGTGTACCGCCGGTTAAGTAAACTGATGCCAGATCACGTGATCGACGACGGAAGATGTGACGCTTACACGAAGTCGTGTGTGAGAGACGTTCCATATGGGATTGGCATCAACACACTCGCACCTTTTAAAGAATTCTCCAGCACCACATTGTGCAAAATGTGGTGATGAGCTGTCTGTCGTTCACGTTCTAATTACCTGTCCGTACCTCGAACCAGAAAGACTGTGTCACTTTTCAAAGCTGTACAAATGTCACATTCCGCCTCATCCACAATTTTTTCTTGGAGACGATCCCTTGTTTCCCCCAAAATTAGTCTTAAAGTTTTTAGCCAGTGTAGGCTTCCTACATTCCATAACATATTCTCACTAATCTCAGCCTCCTCTCAATCCTGAGGGAACCGCTGAGACTTTTTTTTTATCAAATGTCATGCAGCACGCACTCCTTGTCTTGACAAGGACTGTTGACGACACGGCATGACTTTGTAAAACCAATAAGCGTAGCCTGTTTTAAACCCATCACACATAGTCACTACACCTAAGTTTAAGTTCTATACACTACTCTTTTACTCTTGCCACCCTGAGTAGACTTTTTATAATCAAATCGACCAAAAACCGTGTGTTTGGCGCTCTTTGGCCTGAGTTGCCCTTGCGCCACTAAAATCTACCATCATCATCATCATGGGATTGGCATCAAGCGCTTTCGTTCATGTCGCGTATAGTTCACTCTGCGCCATTGGAAGTGCACTGGGCAGGAGCGTGATGACCTCACACGGCACGTTTGAGTGTGCGCACCTGCGCTCTCTGTACATCGCTCAGAGTGGCGCTTCGACGCTTCCGTATAAATAGGCTCGCTGGCAGTGCATGGAAATGCCCGACGCCGGCGGCTCTGAGGCGACAGGGATGGGCGAGAAACGCCATGACGTCGTCGTAGGCCCGCAGGCGGGTTTCTCTCTCTCTCTCTCTTTTCTTGCCTGGCGCTCCTCGCTGCATTCACGTCTCGCACGTGGTGTGCACAAGGAAGTAACAGTGTCTTTTTTTTTCTTTTTTTTTGTCTGTGCGTGCGTTTGCTAGCGTGTGGTTAATGCCGCGTGTAGTTTTGAAGCCGCCACCTCTAGAGGATGGGCGACATTAAAAAGAAACCACTCTTCTATCGCGATCTCTTCACTCCGAATTGGTCTGCACGACGTGCCGTATGGGTTGCGGTGAGGAGAAGGGCGCATGCCTGAGTGCGTGTTATTTCTCTCGCTCAGCGCTGCTGCGGCGTGTCTCTTGCGTCACATGAAGTGCGCGCTTTACTGGACGGGACCTCCGAGGTGAAGCGAGTTGAAGGTGGGGGGGGGAGGGAGGGTTGGCACACGGCTTTGCGGCGATCGGTGGCGCGGTGACAAGAGGTGCGGTCTCCTCCGGGGGTTCCGATAAGCGGGTCGGGGAAATGAATATACGCGGATTAGGGCGTCCTTCGAAAAAGGGCTCGCTGCGCCGCAGTCGCCATTCGGTGCACGTCTTTGGGGCACGACCTTTTTGGCGGCACATCCCGCGCGCTCTCCTCTCGCTTCGGGTTCTCTCGTCGGTGTGGTCGGCGGCCTTTCTCCTGCCGCCGAGTGCTGCTCCTCTGCCTTCTTCCTCTTCTTCGACGGTCGCGCCCGTATCGCGCTCCACCCCGCCCATCCGAGGAGACGCCTGCGCCGCCGGTGCGTATGCGCACCTCTTTGCCAGATGGCGCGCGAGGTCGGGTGTGCGCCTTTCTTGGCGCGTGCGTGTGTGGGATACATATGTGTGTACAGTCCTGCACTGTGGCCAGCAGGCTGGGAAACGTCGTTTCTGGCTAAGCTATCTATACGACTCGGCGCCGGCTCCATCGCGCGGAATTCAACGCGTGCGAAGATCGACTTGGCGCGCAGGAGTAACATTAACTATCCAGGAAGAAGAGACCTTTGGCTTTTAGCTGGTCGTGCAGCTCTTTATAGTTTCGCATTTTGTGAGCAGAATCGATAAGCCCGTGGACAGAAGAAAGAATTCTTATGTGGAGAGATGAACGATGAAAAGGAAGGAGGTTAACCAGGTCTGCACTGTGCGATGGTGTAAGAGCAAAAATAGTATAAAATTGACGTGGTTTTAGGTGACCAAACTGCGATTCGATTACGAGGTACGCCGAAGGGGTGGGGGGGGGGTCTGAAATTTTGACTGTCGGGGATCCTTTATCATGCTCCTAAATCTAGGCACACGGGTTTCTAGCATTTCACCTTCACCGAAATGTGACCGCCGTGGCAAGGATTTGGTTCTGCTACTTTCGTGTTTCTATACTATAGCTTCCGAGCAACCAATGTCCCACAGCGATGGCCTATAAGAGCAGGAAAGATGAGAGGAAAAAAAAAACAAGAAACTCGTATCTCAGTTTTTAAGGACTCAAATAAAGTTAATTCTGGTCATGTGTTAGTTTTCGGTGCAGCACATCTGGCTGACTGGGGTAGATCTGGGGTGCAAGGGCTTGTATATGTGTGACCGGTACACAAGGAGAAACATTGGGAGGGATCTTAATGGGCATCAGCACTTCATCATAAGGACGATGACAGCCAGATATATATTTGGGATAGTTTCAATCGCCCTTCGTATGTTCAAGCGTGGGCTGTGCGTGTATATGTGGGTGCTTACCTTACGCGTCCGAAATATCAAGACTTTCAAGCTGTCGCTGTCTCCGCCATATCTGTACTTGGCCCCGCTATCCGGCCTGGGCCGACCGATGTCGGGTGCAGTGTGACAAACACTGGGCTGAGAATCGGCCCACTGGGTCGAGATGGTCCGCCATGGTGGATCCGGTGGCTACGGTGGTCGGCTGCTAACCCGAAGGTCGTGCATAATAGCCCGGGCGCTGCGTTCGCATTTAAATTGGGGGGCGAAGTGTTATAGACACGTGTGTACTGTGCAATGTCAGTGCACGCTGAAGAGCAACAGATGGTCAAAATTTCGGGAGCCCTGCCCTATGTCATCCCTGATAATCATATCGTGGTTTTGGGACGTTGCACCCAGATATTATTATTATTATTATTATTATTATTATTATTATTATTAGTAGTAGTAGTAGTAGTAGTAGTAGTAGTAGTAGTAGTAGTAGCAGTAGTCGTTGTGTGGCTAGGTTCTTTGTTATACACGACCAAGTGAGTCCACCTGAGGAGTAGACCAATGAGCGCATAGGTGACATTACTTGTTGTTTTTGACTGGCGCGTGGTAATCATCTATAATCTGTACGCGCCGTCCCAGCAACGTACCTGAGCTGGTCTATCGTTTCTATTGTCGGGAGAATAATGAATAAAGAAAGAACGCAAGTTTAAGATTTCAAAGTGAACTGTATTAAAAGAAAGCTTACGTGTCATTCTTCTACTGCCTCGCGATCCGTCCCAGTTCGTGCCTCGAACCTAACTGCCTTGCCAGGCGGCTCCTGCCTGACTCCACCGTCGAGAGGGGGCTTTCTTTATCCCACGGGGGGGACACACCACTGCAGTAAGTGCGACGGCAGAATTCTTGGTCGTCACTCGCAGAAAACGCGTGAGTTCGGACGTATCCAGTTTCAACTGCGCTTTGCACAGGGCCGAAAATCCGTAAACACTGCCCTAAGGACGGTTCGGACACGAAAGGACACACACGCGCACGTGGAGCGGCAGTGCTCCGACACTCGAAGCATGGCTATCCTCCATGTGCGCAACTGATGTGTAGTCGTGAAATGAACAAGCGCCGCGTTGTGTCCATAAACGTTGCGTGGTTCTCGCTGCAGGCGGCGTGCGCCCCGATCCAGCTGGAGCCGGTGGACCTGTCGGTGAACAGCCGGAGTCGGTCGTCGTCGGCGGCCGGCCGGGGGCTGCCGCTGGACGAGCAGCCGACGCCACCTTCCTCGCCGCCTTCCTCGGCACCTTCGCCGGACATCAACAATGGTGAGCTCACCCTTGGTGTATTCTCCCCACCTTTGCATCGCAATGACGGCCATATAGCGCCGTCAAACTTTTTATTGATTGATTGATTGAGTGATTGAACGTTTATTATCATTTGTCACATGAGGTTTACAAACACTGATTGGACCCATAGCCTGAGGCTAGTGTAGGGTCCATTGAGAAAAGTAATGGACAGAAGCGGGAAATATCAATTACACATAATACATATGTAGCTATACAGACACTGTAAATATACACATATACAGAGTAGAGTAGTCTTTCTCTTCTTAAACAATCTGGTCACACCAAACAAAACTGCATGTGCGCGTACAAAAAGTTATGACAGATAACTTCGTGGGCGCACCCAAAAAACATCAGTTAAAATACATAAAGAACATCGAACTATCGCGAGTTTTAGTTAGAAGGAAAAAAAATGCTAGGTTTACAAGATTCACCAGCGTATATTTATACAAATGTAAGTGCTTACCACCAAAGAGAAAAAGAAGTATTTACAGCTTGCTCAAGAATTGATTTTTTTAGTTTTACCGCAGCATTGTGTGATGTCTTCAGTTCAGTGGGCAAACTATTCCAGATCTTTAACCCTGTGAATTGCAATACTCTCTCTCCATAAACGTTATTTCTTGGCGCCAAGTTAAAGTTACCAAACGTCAGGCTTCTAGTAGGGCGGGAAGAGGAATAAAATAATAAAATAAATAAAACCTAATATGCACTGATGGGCCAATATTTGGTAAAACACGCGCACAGAAAGGACGCAAACGCTGTGGCGATAGCCCTATAGTTGCGTGCCTCGCCAAACGCCGAAAAAGTGACCGTCGGCGTCAACGCGAGTGATGCAAAGATCGTCGTCATGCGATGACGTCGTCGCCATATTACGCCGTCACGAGCTCGCATCTTGACGTTACGTGACGGCGTCCTCACGTGACGACGCCGCTCGGTCATCGGTGGGGCCGATCCCGGAGGCATGCGAAGGGTAAAAAGTGGGCAGTATCTCCGATCTCGGAGGCTGTGTCCAAATTCGTTACGAGGTGCAGAAAACATACCTCGGGACCGCGGGACCAATACTGTCGACCCAGAAGAAGATGACCTTTGCACTGGTGTCGTCCTATGGGCATTCGAGTGCGCAATGGACCCTGTGCGTTTTAGGCCTCGCTGTGTTGTGTGCAATTGGTGTCGTTTAACAAATTCTCACAGTTTTCACTGTTGAAATCCTTCGTGGGCATCGTTACGAATCCCGGTGAGCTGTTGTCAACGGAAAGCCCTGCCGAAACGGCAGTATATAAAGCTTTATCGAGTGATCGCGCGAAATAATTCAAGAAGACGGCAAAGCGCACCCGGGAATGCGCTCCTCAAGATACTCCCGCAGTCTTCGTTCACGTTTTGTTTTAGCATCATGCGTGCGTGAACAGAAAACACAGATGTCTCATGCGGGAGGAATGAAGGACATACGAAACGTTTATCGAGGGGCCCGTTTTGAATAGTCACAGCAATAATAAGAAAGACAAGAAAAGCGTGGGGTAATTGTAGTCCTTTACTGACGTGTAGGAACAACAACAAAAAAAGATAAAGGGGAAAAAATCACGGGCTCGCCGTAAGGGCGAAACAGTGAACGCGACAGCAAGAAATACAGCTTAATGCTATATACTTGCAAGAAATTAGAATGTCGTTCGAAGACCATTTAGCGGCTCTCTAGCAAACACGTCCGTTGCAACGAACGAGGTGGCCTTCGTGCGGTCCATAGCTTTAACGCAAACGTTTTGATGAGAACTAGAAAGCAACAATCAGTCATATTTTGAACCCCCATATATAGGTAAGCACGAGCGCGGGCGATCACACCCTTCGGGTCAAAGTGCGGAGCCGCAGGGCGTGGACAAAACACGAGCGACTTTTGTCGCAAAATGCCAAAGCGCGCCCTATGGCATTTTGCGCCATCTCGCGGGTCATAGTGAACATGCCCGTACCACGCTGTAGAATCTCGGAGATCTATGGGCAGCGCTAAAGCCACTCCAACGCGCGTCTATACTGCCGGCTTTAGGCAGCGCCGACGGCAAATTGTGTAACCAATTGCTTGCCGTTGGTATGATGGAGGCTGTACGTCGTGCCTCCAGGGCTTGCGACGCGGCATAAGCCCCCTAAAGTATAGGCCCCTTCCCTATCCTGAAGCAGCTTCAAGGCTATATTTATGAGGTATACGGTGAGTTGCCGTGAATTTAGTGATATAATAAATGTTTAGGACCCGGATTCTTGGAGCTGACTGCTTGCATGCACGTGTGGCACGACGTATTTGCTTCCATTTCTCGAAATGTTGGCGCAGTTGCGGCGTAAGTATACGTCCGCCAGTAAAGGTATACCAGCGTCCACTAACCCGCCGCGTACGCAAGATAGTGAGCGTTACTGATCCTGACACACTGAATAGTAATGAACGAATTTACTACCTCTGACCCGGTTATATAGCTGTAAAACGATATCTGCACATAGTAAAGTTGACAGGGTGGTATAATGAATGCTCTAGCTCCTCTTTCTTTAGCGTCTCTGGCAAGGCTTTTTTTAACGTAGACCCGAAGTGGTGGTTTGTGCGCAAGGATGGTTACACCGGATAGTAAAAATATACGAGCCTCAGGGTCGCTTAGAAAATAAAACAAAAAAAAAGAATACGTTACAGCGAATGAGTCATTTTCGTGCGTCGCAATCGGTGAGTGACGTAATAAGCTACTTGCTGTGCGAGGGTCTGCATCACGGCGAACGATTTTGTTTCGTGCTCGTCTGTGCTTACGATCGAGCTATTTCAGAATGGTTCGTCGTGGCGTCTAAACTGAACGATTTGCAGCGGCTGAAAATTTGATAAAATATGACGGGGGGGGGGGGGGGGGGGCTCCGTTAAACTTGACGCGTGACGTCACGCCTTGTAGCAAAAATGGCGGTTGCCAAGCGACAGGCGGGGCCTTGATTGATATGTGGGGTTTAACGTCGCAAACCACCATATAGTTATGAGAGATGCTGTAGTGGAGGACTGCGGAAATTTCGACCACCTGGGCTTCTTTAACGTTCACCCAAACCTGAGCACATGGGCCTACATTTCCGCCTCCATCGGAAATGCAGCCGGGATTTGATCCCGCCACCTGCGGGTCAGCAGCCTTAGCCACTAGACCACCGCGGCGGGGCGACGGACGGGGCCTATAGTCGGTGACTTCTATAGGTACGCATTTCCGATGGAGGCGGAAATGTTGTAGGCCCGTGTGCTCAGATTTGGGTGCACGTTAAAGAACCCCAGAGGGTCGAAATTTCCGGAGCCCTCCCCTACGGCGTCTCTCACAATCATATGGTCGTTCTGGGACGTCAAACCCCGCAAATCAATCACTTCTATAGGTACTTATTTTGCGTTGAAATGTTGTTACAGTACATGTTTAGTACATGTATAGACACAATAGGCCCTTTACTTTTTTTAATTTCGCCAATAACCGCGAATTCTTAGGTTCGTGACCGTGTCATGCCTCTTTAAATTTCCTGTTGCCGTGGGCGCACTGTATAAACTTAACCCCCATAGTGCCTCAATTTCGTTATTGTTCTCGCGAGACCTATATATATATATATATATATATATATATATATATATATATATATATATATATATAGATATATATATATATATATATATATATATATATATATATATATATATATATATATATATATATATATATATATATATATATATATATATATAAAGCTCTCCCCACCGATTTGTCGTAAACTTCAAAGGAGGGCAGGCCGCCAGCGCATTGCACCGGAAGGTGAAATACAATACAGAAACGGTGGTCAAAATGTCCACTTGGGGGAAGGGTGGGTGCTTGGGAGGTATTGTTGACACAGATGGCATAGCTCGATTACGTTCGCCTTACTCTGTTGAGTTCTTGTTCCTTCCTAATCTCACCATGTCCCTCTTGCTTCTTTCTGATGTTTCTTCCTCCTTTGTTCTTCTTTTTTTGATGTTGATATTTCTTCCTGTCCCCTTCCCTCCTGTCTCGAGAAGCTATGAGAAGACACGAAAATGTGTAAATATCTATATGCCTTGAAAAAGATGGGGCTCCCGTCGAAACGTCGGCTGAATAAACAAGTCACGTGAAAGCGCATTAACATTATATATATATATATATATATATATATATATATATATATATATATATATATATATATATATATATATATATATATATATATATATATATATATATATATATATATATACACTTTAGGTGGTGCCTTTTTCTTCCTCGTGCACGACGACTGGGCAGCTAGCGTATGCACGTATCTTTTATTTAGCGTGCTTTACCTGCGAGAAATTTATAACCAGGCTACCGAGCGCGCAGGCATTATATGGGATGCTTCCGTTCCCGTGGCATACAGTACCGGTCGTTGTAGGACCAAGAACCAGTTCGGGTCGTCGCTTTGACGGCGAACTCGAATTAATTTCTTCGAGTCCGGGGGTTCTCTGGCGGTGGTCTATGCTGACCGCTTCCTTTTTCTCTCTTCTTTTTTTGCGCGCAGTTCCTCGTGTTCGGTTTTTGTGGCCTGAATATCGCCTGCGCGCGTCTTCCTGCTTGGCCGCGCGAAATGCCTCGTTCGTTGAAGATTGCGTATGCGTGCGCAGTTTGTGAGACTATGGGGCGCGCATATCGGTGTCCCCGAAACCAGAACGTATATGAGGGCGTGGAGGATATATACTTTAGAGATTTCGATCAGTTTTGAAGTAGCTTTATAAATTGAAGGAATGAATGCGAATATATAAGACGGAGTTTTATTACTTTTTTTTTTCAGGACGGTCCCAATCCCCAATGCAGCCGACTCCTGTATCGCGATCGGCCCTATATACTCCGCGGTCATTCCATCGTGATAACAGTGCGCGAATACAGTGCGCCACGCTGTTAAAGGGAACGCATGGAGAGTATTGCATCTGCGCGTGCGACTGCCCGTATTTGCGTACAAGT